TATATATATATATATATATATATATGTAACATTTCTGTCCCCCTCACTTCTGAAATGATGGCTACGCCCCTGTACTCACTCCATGCTGGTAAGACCACATTACTGTAATAATTAGCCCCAACAACAACAAAAAATACTTTAGATGAGCATTGTCTTAGTTAGTCCAACCCGCCAATTTGCAAAAGCGAGCCAAGTATTCCAAAAATGAGTCCCTCTTATCAGAGTTTTCTGCTAAATCCAATTTTTTTCATGGTCAGGTCTTCTGTAACATTCAGAGGGTGACTCAGAGGTGAAGGACAGCAGGATTTAAAATATAACGTAGGCCCAAGTAACTCAGAAAACTATATGTTACACAGCAAAACAAAAGCGCAATGAACACAGAATACATTAAACATGTGCAGGGATTGGGAAACGTTTTTTTATTTTGCTCTTCACAAGTTGTGTTTTGGATGCTGGTGACCCCAGAAGGCCTTTAACTAGCTTAACATGCTTCTCTAGAAAGATCATGTTGGTTGACCTGAATTTTTATGCCAGCCAGAACTAACCAGCCTAAACTAGCATGGAAATTCTTGCAGGAAGAAAGAAAAAGAGGGGTTATCAGCCACTGAGGAACTCACAAAGCAAGTCTGCGATTAGCAGAAAAGTGCCACTTCAACCTGCATGACTTCATCAAGCTGTCAAAGCCACTGAACTGCAGCTCGCTGGAGTGACACTGTCACGGTCAACGGAACAAATGCGAGCCCTGGAGGTTAAGACCCTCATAATCACACCAGTCACAGGCTTTTTCTGTCTAATTAATATTAAAATGCCTGATAAAACTCATGGGTGAAGTAAATGTAAACACACAGGCCTGCAGTCCTCTGGAAAAAGAAAATCAACAGAGGTCAAGGAACGAGTCTGAGCCAGAGACAGGCGATGCTAATGAGAGGAGGTTCTCTGGAGATCTTCCTGTGAGCAACACAGTGGCAAGGGCTCGACCCCGTACCTCCCTCATGAAAGATTCATGCCAATGACTGGCAACTCAACGACAGAGGGAAACTTTCTCTTGTGCTCTGAGATGATGCTAAAGAGTCTTTAAAGCACATTAAACTCCAACACTAAGGACATGAATAAATGGAAATAGCTATAATAACTCTCCTGCAATGCAAACATTGACTGGTCAATTAAGAGAAATAGCATGGAACAACTAATGTGAGTGGGATGCATCCATAAACTCCATCATCTCAGTTAATGTGTTACTGTCAGTGAATGTTAAAGAGAGGACAACAGCGTTCTGACATTAGCTGAAGGAAAAAAAATTTTTTTGTGGGTTTGTATGAGGTTTGTAGCTCACACTCACACGCTGATAACCAACACTAGGGTCTTTGAAGCAAGAGCTCACATGTGCTGGGGCTTCATTCCTCAGATGAAACATGCGTAGATACTATCTTCCTGCATTTAAGTTAGATAACGATATAAAATTATCTTCCATAGCGAATATAAAAACAACATTGATTGCAACAGATAATTAGACTGTTATTACAGAACAAAACAGGTTGTTATCCTCATATCTGGCCAACATTCCAGTTGTGCTAAAATATAGTTATATAGCTTTGACTGTTTGCCGTCTCACTGCACAGCTCACATAGCGAATCATTACTTATGTTGCAAAACAATGTTCTCAGGACGAGATCTTTAGCAAGAATGACACATTTTTTATTAATATTTTTTAAAATGATTTATGTATTTAATAATGTAGGTAATATTTAAGAATAACATTTTTAATTATAGCTGATATAGATGCAACAGCAGATTTTTTTTTTTTGTAAAAATCACAGACATTTTAATCATGCAAATATTGCTTACACTATCCCTGAATCAGTATTTCACAGGATGGTGATCAAGGTCCAAAAAGCACATAAAAGTACTATAAAAGCAGTCCATATGAATTGTGTGTTATTCTAAGTCTTTTGAATTTGTTGCTTTATGTGAAAAAAAAGACTGTATTCACTCAAAATCCTTGCTGATTTGAATCTGACAAGAACATTTGTTTGTCTACATAAGCGAAGCACCGTGAACACGCTTCACTCCAAATAAGGAGAAGAAACAGCTCACAAAGCTCACTGATACTGACAGTTTTTCCCTAAAGAAAACCAAGAAGAAAACACCCAGAACACACTATGTGCTAAAAGAAAAACACACACACAGCAACACATCTCTCACATACTGATCAGAACAGGCAAAAATCTGCTTTTCAAATAGTATTGTTTCAAAGAACAAGTTCAGAGCTCAAACTTTGGCTCACGTGAAACAGGCAACTCAGTAAGTGCAGGAAGTGATGATAGAAATCATCCTCGTGTTGGTGGAGTTAAACTCAGTGAGGGCCGCCGCAGGAGTTTGGACGGGTCACCTGGGGTGAGAACAGCGGGAGCCGCAGGGCGAGCTCAATCTCTGAACGCTACAGTAATGGCCTTGATTGACTCTCTCTCTCTCGTTCTGCAGTTCTTCTGACCCCAGCAGCCAGACAGACGAGAGCCGCGTTTGAAAGGGTCAAACCTCGCTGGCCCCGCTCTCGCCACCCTGCCTCTGCACACACACACACACACACAGAGAGAGAGACATGCACGTGGCCTGTGCTCTTTCCAGATGGTGGTCTGTGATCATTTATTAATGAGGAAGTTCAGAGAGTTACTGCCAGCTGCTGCCAGCCTGCGCCATAGGCCTCACACACACACACATGCCCTCTTAATCCAGGTTCATTCCCTGTGGCCACTGAATGCAAAAATGTGTATTTTTCTAATTTTTTATAGAAATGAAGTAGCAGCTTACTCTTTAAATTTCTATCAATACCAAACAGTTGAGAGTAGCCAAACAGTAGCCATTGACTTCCATACTATTTATTTATTTATTTTTATTTTGTATTTTTTCCATACTGTGCAAGTCATTGGCTATCAGCAATTGTTTGGTTACCCATATTCTTCAAAATAGTCGAGGATTGAAACCGGAGCTCTTGATGACTCTTGAGGACATCATGTCATCATCAGGCCTCTGTCATGCTGTCTGTGAGGATGTCAAACAGCAGACGTCCTGCTCTGAGTGGAAATGGACAACGGTGCAAACAGACTCCACCAAAATAATCTTCTGAATTCTTCTTTAGAAGGATTTGTTCAAATAAAATCCATACTTGAGAGGTTCAGTGTTCAGCCATCCTGATGTTACACAGATAAAACATGATGCTATAGGACACCCGTCTTCTGGATTTATCAGTCTTCTTGGGTGTAACCAACATGCAGGACACCATTTATGGTAATATGAGCAGAAAACCAGAAATTATGTCACAGAGAAGACGGCTGTGACATCATTTCATTTACGGCCCTCATAAAGGTCGTATGAAAAAATGAGATTTAAAGATAACATTGAATGTGAAAGAAATTATCTGTTATTATGAGCATTAAGATACAAGTATTGAAAACCGTAAACTTTATAATTCTGAATGGTAAATTCTTTATTCATAAATGCCGAATGTCCAAAAACTGAAGTCACTTAATCTTGTGAAAATTGTGAAAGCTACATCTATTGTAAATACTATGATCTGTATTTGATGTCTTGTGAATTTTATTTATTTATTTACTTTATTATTATTATAAGGATTAAGGTTTGTATACTAACATGTTTTAAAGAAAGAATGAATGTTTTTACATCTGTGTGGTCATTACATTAAAACGGTTGTTGAAAATAATATGTATCTGTCAATGACAATTTACACTGAAACACTTGATTTTAATATTCATCCAGGGCTCATACCTGAAAGAGGCCACATGTAAAAGCTCTGGCTTATTAAACACACACACACACACACACACACACACACACACTCACACACACACACACACACACACACACTGAAGTGTTTGTCCCGTGTTTTGCCAGATGTGGTGCAGTGAAATATTCCCTGTTGGGAGTGGATTAATATGCCATTTCTGCGGCTGCGTTACATGCCTGTATGTTCTGTTTTCCTGAACTTTGTGTCAAACCCACGTCAGCCGACCCCTCATGACCTTTGTTAGGATTGAAATTCAGCATAGTCATAACCTCACAACCTGCCACCTCAATTGGTCTGATTACATGCATGTTTTATTTATAGTGGTCATATGATGCGATTTCAATTTTTCCTTTCTCTTTGGAGTGTTACAAGCTCTTGGTGCATAAAGAAGATCTGTAAAGTTGCAAAGACTAAAGTCTCAAATCCATTGGTGAGCATACATAAGCTTTAGACACAGAGGAGCTTCGTAACTTCTGGCTTGCAGCTTTTAAAAAAGGAAATTCTGCATGAAATGGAAACTCAGAATGGTAAAAGCACCAAAAGGCTCTTTATTCCATCTGAGCTCCAGCTATTTCAAATAAACATGCCATGAGATGTTGGGAAGCAGCGGATCATGAACGGCTGAGGCTTGTGTCACTCACAACCACTTCAAATCATCAGCTGTGTTTGCTTCAGTGGGCGGAGCTTCACACCACCCTTACTGATTTACTGAAGTCAGGCACATCTGTCTATATGACACCTGTGTTAGCCATAAACATTTACAATTATGCACTTGGCAGATGCTTTTATCCAATGTGAGTTGCATTGCATTTAATACAAATAATACATACATTTGATCAATTCATGCATTCTCTGGGAATCAAATTCATGCCCTTTTGCTAATGCCATGATATACTGAATAGGATTGGATTGAACTGAGTCTCTGCAAATAAGTCCAGTGCTGATTGAGAGCTGAAGAAATAAAGGCTCCTCAGAAGATGTGAGATGTTCTGGAGGCTTGTGAAGATCATTCCTCCGCTGAGGAACAGTGAAAGTAAAGCTTCTGGAAACAAACGCTCCTCAAAAGATCCTGAGGATCAGATTTGAGACTCTAAAACATGATTGATGGAGAATCAAGTAAAGCTGAGCTGCTTCAGTCCAGTAAGTGTTCATCTGGAGATATTACTGCAGTTATTCTGATGTTTACTTGATAAAAAGCAGTCAATATTTGACACGAGAAGCACCAGCTGAAGCTGGACGTTTCAGAATGTTTTGATGTGCTGGTTATTTTCAGTGTTTGATTGGCAGGTGAGTAAGCGGTGCTCACGGTCTGAGACGCATCAGATAAATGAGCGTTTACACTGCAAATGCAAAGTGCTCTACAGTAAGTATACAGAGAATACAAAAGTCTCCGTATAGACAGCCATCTGTCGAAAACAAACTCTTTCTAAGGTGCAGAAGCCTTCAAACGTTCCAGCTGGCATTTTGGTGATTATGCTTTTATGTAAATGCAGTGAGAACTTGAGAGAGACAGGCACTGCCGCCCATATGTTTGAAACATGTCACATGAAACATGAGGCAAATTCTGCCTAGACAAAACAGATATATTTCATTTCCTTATTGCTCATAAAGGGTGATTCAAACATGGAGCATTCTGACGGTCCCAGACAAGCATACTGAACAGCTGAGACACATGTGGGCCAACAGACAGACAGACGGTCTGGAGTGCAACACCTTAGAGAAATGCAGACGTATGTGTGTGTGTCAGAAGCGGCAGACAGGTGACCCAGTGAGGACTTTACAGAGACCCGCATGCGCTTCTGATGTGATGCTGATGGTATCTGGATGTTTTCTCCTCAGCACTGAATGACTGTGTGAGAGGAAGATATAGAGGTCCATTTCTCCTTCTTTGCATGCAGGTAGAAACTCATGAAAAGCCTGCGCTCAGCGTGACTCAAACCAGATGTGTGGAGATCCCGGCATACAAAAGAAACCTGCAAAAACACCATACACCTTTATTTTGTCTTGTAGCGTGAGTTCATTTCCAGTGCAAACCGTCATTTCACACACACTCAAAAAGCATCTGGAATCTGATCTACATGCAAACAAACCTAACACGCACTTGTCGGTTCAGCGATAATTACACCCAAGTAGAGGCAATTAAACAGGTAAATGTGAACTTGACTCAAGCTTTCATTTAAAATAGGAAATCTTAAGTTCACCAACATGCCTGCATTTTTACGAGGCGATAAAACTGGTCGAGGGAACGAACAGAAACCCCGGAGGTTCAAAGTGAGAGCTGCTAAAACATTTCTTCTCTGGAGTTTCCCCCTCTAGCGTGTTCATAAAACATCATTACAGTCGACCTTAATCACGGGAATATGTTTCTTTGAAGCCTAACGAACTCTGTTACAGCTAAATAAACTCCAGACATGTGCATTTGCAACTTCTACCAGCTAGTTTGATAAGCACCGTTCCTGGATAAATCTGATACTTTAAACCTTCGAAGATTAAATGAGCGAGGATTTTCTGCAGACTGCGTCACGTGTGATATTTACCTTTCTCTTGCACTGAATAATTGCTGTATTGTTGGCAGACTGTGTGAGTGTGACTGCAGTGCCGGTGTCTGTTGATAGGTGGCGCTGTTTCACATGCCATCAGACAGGCTAACGGCCGATCCCCTGCTAAACATTTAATAATCAATCATTCTCTTCTGTTCTGTCTCTCTCCACAGCTTTGTGATGGACTGAAAGCGTGTGTTTGTTTCTTCTGAGGCCGCCATCTTTTCACTGCAAAGGACAATTTGCTTCATGACAATTTAGCATGGAAATTCATTATGAGCCCATATTTAACAGTCAGAATATGGTCTAAAACTCTTTTTATTAGAGGCTCTTAAGATTGCAAACTCTTAGCACAATAAAATGCTTAAAGAAAGTCAAGGTTTTAACATTGTTAGCATGTGTATCTGGTGTTTTTAATATGCTTAAAGACAAACCATCAGTCAACACCATCGCTGGGCATTTTCTCCTTAAATCTGCTGTCAACCAAAGACAGTCTCTAAAACGCGGTTAGAAACAGTTCATTTCCTACCGCCACAAACATGTAACCAATCCATCAGCTTGCAGGGTGTTGCTTTACATATCATTAGCAAAGCATTTCTACCTAAGGATGTTGATTTTTAGAAGCTATAGCTTTCTGAGATGGCAAACAGGAACA